TATATATATATATATATATAAAATCAAAAAATGTCTCTAAATATATTTTTTCTATCTGAGGGTTGATCTTTCATCCACTGATCCTTGATTTTATTTTTTAATTGGTAAATGTTTTTGTTACCTTACTTTTACACGGAGACAATTGCCTGCTTTCTTCTTTTTTTTTTTCTTTTTTTTATCTATAAAAGTTAATGTTTGTAATAATGAATCTTATGTAATGATTTGCTTGAATAAGGGCTAAAGACATGGTTTTATTTGAGACTGATGTTAAAACTTCAGTAATTTTAGCCCCTTGTGTTTCACATCTTGCGGTTCATTTGGACAAAAACCTTTAAGATCAAAATGTTGATTTGATCGCTGGTTAATTAAGCGGGTGTGTGCCAGGATATGTACATTTATTTATTTCTATTTTTAATTTTTTATTTTCATTAGGTTGAATGAGCAGGCCAGTGAGGAAATCCTGAAAGTAGAACAGAAATACAACAAACTCCGTCAGCCGTTCTTTCAGAAGAGGTCAGAGCTGATCGCCAAAATCCCCAACTTCTGGGTCACCACATTTGTCAACCATCCACAGGGTAAGCGATTAAAGAATAAAACCTGCTCTTTTTTTTCTCTTTCACACAACTTTTCTAGTTGAAGCTTTAAGTACAAATTTGCCTCGTTGATGTTTATCGTGACAGTATCTGCTCTACTGGGAGAGGAGGATGAAGAAGCGCTTCACTACCTGAGCCGAGTGGAGGTGACAGAGTTTGAAGACATCAAGTCAGGCTACAGAATAGATTTTGTAAGTGGCTTTACTAGTTTTTCTCCCTTTTTTTCTCACTATTGACGATTAAGATGTGAATTAATCCCATACTTGATTTTATTCTTTTTTCAGTATTTTGATGAAAATCCGTACTTTGAAAACAAAGTACTTTCCAAAGAGTTCCACCTCAATGAAAGCGGAGACCCATCCTCTAAGTCAACAGAAATCAAATGGAAATCAGGAAAGGTATCTTAAGTGTTCAGTGATGCTGTTCAGATTGTCTTGTATCTGGTTGGCTTTTTTCGATGTCGGAGTATGAAGATGCACCATAGGCTGTTTCTTGGTTCCCAGCCTCTTGAAACTGAGCCACCTATGTGAATTGCTCACAGCTTTATTTCTACTGTTTGTAGGATCTCACCAAGCGGTCCAGTCAGACGCAGAACAAAGCTGGCAGGAAGAGGCAACATGAAGAACCTGAGAGCTTCTTCACCTGGTTCACTGATCACGCTGATGCTGGTGCCGATGAGCTTGGAGAGGTCATCAAAGATGATATCTGGCCAAATCCCCTGCAGTACTACTTGGTATGTTTGTGCTAAAGTGTTTGATTCTCCATCTGAGGCCTATTTTAGATTGGGGTTTAAAGAACCACCTGCTGGGTTTTTATCTGTAGGTTCCTGACATGGATGATGAAGAGGGTGAAGGCGAGGAGGACGAAGAGGATGAGGAGGGTCTTGAAGACATAGATGAGGAAGGAGATGAAGATGGAGAGGATGATGAAGAGGATGAAGGAGAAGGAGAGGTAAAGTGTTGATATTTTGGAAAACTTCAACCGATTAGGCGGTTTTAGTCAACATTAATCCTGTGATGCCTTTTTGTTTCAGGAGGATGAGGGAGAAGACGACTAAGAACTATCACCTGCAAGACCATTTACCCTCTATTCCCCATAAATTTTTCCACTCATATTTGGGAGCAAAAGGTTTTTTGGAGTATTTTGTTTTTTTAGTTTTTTTTTACCGTTTTATCCATATGTGCTTCACGTTCCATTCTGAAGCCTCTTCACCTGCTGATGCCATGTTATGTTCTCCTTTGACTCGTTCAAGGCCAGTGGCACTTTGCCTTGAATTGTGAGTACCATCTCCCCCCCCAAGACATCTTAAAACAATAATAAAAGAAAAAAAATAGAATCAGCACAGTATCCAGAGTAGAATGAAGACCTGTCACACAGTTCCTCCAGTTCAAGGTTGTGTGGTAAATCAACTGAAGCCATGGTAGTGACCTAGTGCTAGCAGACCTTTCTATATTTTGTTTTCTTATAGGGACACTGTGCCCTTTAAAGTATTTTTATTTTCTCCCCCGTGTGGTTATCGAGTACCAGCTCATTCCTTTGACTTGTAATGTTTGGGGTTGGGGGGGGTTGGGGGTTAGCTTGGGAGGGGCAGGAGTGTATTGTTATTGGGGAGAGTGGTTATTTTGACACCATTTCTATGAACTTTTTTTTTTTTCATTGTATTGTTTTACAGATATCCACAAGATTTGAAATGACATTTTTAATAAAGAATAAAACTGAAAAAAAAAAACTGGTAAATTTTGTTCCCCTCTGCTGTTTCTTTAACAGAAATGTTTCCCTGATGTTTACACTTGTTTCAAGTTTAAGGTGTAAAACTTGCTTTGTTACAATAATAAAACTAAACTGTATATGCATGTGTGGGAGTCTTCAAAAAAGGGACAGTTGTTTTTTTTTTTTTTGGGAAGTCTATTTGAAAGGCAAAAAAACTACATTTAAGTTCATCAGCTTGTAAATGACTTTGGAGTCATAAGCAGACTTGAAGCGAAGTCTTCCCTCAGAATTCTGTTGGTGATTAAAGCCAAGAATGTACTTTCTGATTCCTCAAATTTGCTGTTTGTGATGGTATCTGGCCAGCTGCTTGGCTGGAAGGCCCAACCTGTCAAAGAGGAAATATGCTTGGTTAACTAGAAAGTTCACTAATAGAATTTGTTTTGAATTGCTGGAGTCACTGGGTTATTTAATCCCATATTTTCCGTTAATATACCCACCTAAATGAGTTTTGCACCTGGGACAGGTAGCCATGGTCCAGGAATACCCTGGGTACCAGGAGAAGTGTCTGTCTGCGGGCCAGTGCTTCATGACGTCCGCTCTTCTGAACGTGATAACCTCGAACTGATATCCATGGGGGTTCTCGAAGAGCTGGACGTGAATCCTCCTACCGCCTACAGAAGTGTCGTTGCGGCTAGAAAGCGCCAAGCGGCTGGGGACGAAGTGGATGTCCGTGCCGCGCGCCACCTCATGTCCACATGCCCGACATAGAATCAGAGTGTCGGGGCTGGTGCCGGACTCGGGCCGCTCGGCAGCACACGGTTCTGAAGGATGCAGAAACAGAAGCGCGGAGCAGATCAAGGGGAACAGTAAATTGTTCCTCTGTGCTCCGAGCAGCAGCAGCAGACTGAACCTCATCGCTGTTGTCTGATCAAATGCTAACAAGAAGCTAGTTGGCCTTTAACGTTTGCAGTTCTGTGCGAGCTGATGCATTAAACTTATCACTCCAAATTGAAAATAAAATATGTTACAAATGAGCAACTATAAATACAGAACATTAAGATGTTGGGGCTTATAAATGTCTAAGCACCGGATTATAAATTAGCCTGTAAAGCACATTAGCCTTAGCTTGCCTCTCATGTTTGAAGCCATGCTAGCTAATGCTAAGCAAGATAGCATTAGCTTCCAGCTAAGCGGACGGAAGCAGCGTTACATAAAGGAAATGCAGTCGGTTATCCTGCTTTAGCCATCACATTAGGAGATTGCATTACATAAAATTTGTTCTTTTACTTATAAAATGTATAAATAATTGTAAAATGTAGATGTTTTTTAGGTTAGCAAGAATGTGGTTGATTTTTAACGAGAAAGAATTTCGAATACGAAAAATAACTTTTTTTAAACAAAGTTGATAAAGTAACTATGTCCACAAACTCAGTTTGATTTTTAATTTGTGTATTTTATGTCCATGGGTATAACTTTTTTCAGGAAACGGCTAAGTTTTAAATTTCTCCATAGGCTGAACAACACAGCATCAATGTCTGTTCCTTGCAACGGTTGCCTCTGGCAACGCTTGCTTGAAACACCCCTCCACCAATCACAGAACCAGATCTTGAAGATCAGCGAATCACAGCGCGCGTTCGTTACTGTTGAGACCCGTCCGGCTCCTCAGACAGAAGTTGGGATTTTTTTCCGGAGTCATGGGGCCAAAATGACCAGGAACGCCTAAACCTTTACAGAGTTCCTCCTTTTTATTGGACATTTGAACCTGTTCTCGGCCTAAATATCGCGGTTTAAACTACAGGATGAAAACGAGAGGTTCACCATCAGCTCCGCCACCGGTTCACGTCCACGTAGCGGAGAGCACGCCTGTCCATGTTCATATGAGGAGGAGTCCCAGCAGATCTCCACAGGTTACTGCTTACTAGAAAGAAACCGTAATACTCTCTGGAAAGAGTTTATAACTTACGAAAAGCCTTCTAAATGTTATAATTTTAAAATCTTGTCTGAAGTGGAATTCAAGTACTGTAATGTTACATTACACAACAGATGCAGACAGACATCACTAGGATTGTTAAGCCTCAAATGATTCATACCCAGATTTACAGTAGATATAAAAACACTTTTTATGCACACATATTTTTCTGACAGGAAATAAGTGCAAAAAGAAAGAAAAACTATGTTAAGTTTATTTTCCTTTTTCAGTAATCAACAAGATTATCTAAATTGGCATTTTAATGCTTTCTCAATAGCAAAGATCTTAAAGGCCTCTTTACAATTACCCTAATGTTTGGGTACCTCCACATACTACAGGAGGGGAGTGGCAGCCTAAGGGTTCGGTCATAGATCTTGGAATCCTGAGGTGCTGAGTTGGAGCCCCACTCCCACAGTCTGCCACTCAGGCTCTCTGAGCTCGGCCCTTAACCCACACTGCTCCCTGGGCGCTGCACAATGGCAGCCCACTGCTCCCTAAGGGATGGGTTAAATGAAGAGGTAAATTTCTCCAAAGTGAGATCAATAAACTTCTATTATTATTACCTCTTGTCAGACTGAAAATGAGGCTCTTGCAATTAATAGGAGGAACATATTGAGAAAATTAAAAGAACAATTGTTCAATTAAAAGCATAACAGAAATACTTAAAAACTTTTATTTTTGGATTTTAGGTGAGAGATGATCAGCTGAGGGGAGATGGAGGCAAACCAAAGATCCGGACGCCTTGGATTCCACCAGGAAGAAACTCTTGCAGACAGGATTTGGGTTCCTACAAGCCTCAGGTGTTTATATAGTGTTTATGTTATACTAACCTGTGGATGAAGGTTTTAAATCTGAGGACTGAGATGATCCTCAGAGAACGTTGACTTTGATGGATAATTTTTCCATACATCCTTTATCACATCTTACAGATGCCCTTCACTCCAGGACCAACTGGAGTATTTGCTGAGTAAAAACGCAGTCTTTGTTTTTGTCTCATCTGACCAAGGCTCAGTGGAGTTTAGCAAACTTCACCTGTTTACGTTTGTGGTGGTTGGAAAGAAAAGACTGTTTCCTTTCAAGCCTCCTGAACAACCCTTTGCCATGTAGATAGTATTGCTTTAGGGTTAAACCCTGAAGACATTACATGATGCTCTAGAGCACATATGTCAAAGTCAAGGCCCGCAGGCCGGATCCGGCCTACGAATTGTTTATCCACGCCCCCCTGGATGATATTTAATTACTATTAGAACCGACCAACAGACCACTGCCGCTTGTGCACACTGCTGTGGGGGATGTAGTGTTGGTGCAGTTGTGTTGCAAGCACCAACACAACTTTCCCAGGGGAAAACATGATTGTGTTTTTCTTTTCTTTTTATTTTTTTGTTGTGTTTTGCATGCTTGGGTTGTTTTTGCTTTTGCTTTTCCCCCTTTAACAATCCAAGCCTGGCTGAAGTCAGTTGTCTAAGGAGGCGGACTGCAGGAAGGGGCGGATGGGATCTGCACAATACTCTGATGGAGACGGGCGCTACTTACAGGTGCGGACCCCTGCCCTGACTATGCCGTCTAGGCACCTCCCCGTATTCTGTGCCTGGTGCGTGGATCCCACCTGCCCCTCGCACGGCAGCGTGTCCGTCTCAATCACCTGCAGGATCAGCTCCCCACTCCTTCCATCCATGCCAAACCCTTTTATTTTGGCTTCAATCAGCCTTTGCTGACACCTGCGCGCAGCATTTGCGCAGGCAGTCAGTGCACTCTGCCTCCTAAGACAACCGGCTTCAGCCCAGTGTGCTTGGATTGCTAAAGGGGGGAAATCAAAAGCTAAAACAATCCAAACATAATTTATAATGCATGCACTTTCATTTATGTATTTATCTTAATAATTTTATTAAAATGATAAGTTTATTGATAATATTTATATTCATATTTATTTATATTCAAATGTCATTTTTCCTGATATCACAGCCCTAGAGGGAAAAATGCATGTTGAAGACCTGATAAGACAGATCAATGTCCCCAGTGTTATTCATTTAACACGCATGGAAAACAAGGTTTTAACACTGAAATCAGGCCCTACTGAATATATGAAAGTTCTCAGATCTACGTCGACAATAGAATCCAGCATATCTGTGATGTTTGCTTTTTTTGTCATTTGTTTAGAAAAGCAGAACACAGCTTCAGTCAGACGATGGGATCAGGAATCAGCGAGATGAAGAGGAGCAGGATGAAGACCGGCACAGAGTTTCTAAAAACCTCACTGTGCTGCTGGGGGAACATGGCAGCTTGTAAGTATCTCCTTATTCCCTGAAAAAAAAAGATGATAGTTCTTATTTGTCCCTGAAAATGTCCTTTTGTGATCAAAAGTCTTTATGTGTTGGATCTAGAATTCTTTAATATTCTCTTACAAACAGCTTAAACTACACATAATTGGGCTCTGTCTGCTAATTATTTAACTCCTGAACTTGGTTTGTAGCAGTGGTGTAGTCTATGTGATACGCGGGTATACGCTGTATACCCACTAGAAAAGCTTGTGAATATCCATATAACCACTTAAAAGTGCCCGATAAGGCTGCGTTCACACCGGACGCAGCAGGCACGGCAGGAGCAGCGAGTTTACATGGAAAGTCAATGGTTGACGCGTGTCAAGGCGCAACAAAAGGTCCCGCGCTGCTGCTCGAGATGGAAAAATTGAACTTTTGCTGCTCGATACGCCGCATCAACTAATCAGAGAAGCTGATCTGGGAGCTGGCAGGGTGACAGATCGCTGATGACACAGAGCGCTGTGATCACTCCTCTTAAACAGTTTATTAACGCCTAAATTAACTGAAAATGCTGAAATCTGCCGACAAAGCGTCTTTGCTTTTATTATCCTGGTGCCTGCAGTTTGGATTACGTTCATGAAAACCGCTTCCAGCTGCCGCAGCGAACCGCGAGGTGGCGACCGGGCCAGAGGCTGCTGTTGGATGGGATTCCTACTGACAGCGCACCGCTGGTATGGGGGGGTCTGAGCGGCCCCGACAGAAATAATATTGCAAGGCAGGATGGTAATCTGGATGAACTGACTGCACTGATGAAGTTTTCAGGTGGACTTTCCCACTTAAAAACATATTAAAACTACTTTATTCCCACTGATCACAGCAAATATAGCTGCAAGGCA